TTTAACGTCTGAGACGTTAAAGTCGTCTGTTAAGTGCGTCGTTCGGACGCACTTAACAGAAGACGTTAAAGTCGTCTGCCTTATTTACCGTTTTTATACTAGACGTTAAAGTCGTCTTAAGACGACTTTAACGTCTCAGACGACTTTAACGTCTCTAGCATAAAAACGGCCAATGTTTGTTTGCTAAATAAGTATGAACCTGTTTAAGACGGACGCCGTTGCATTGGGATCAGTACAAAGTTTACATTGAGGTCAGGTGTCTTCCTTATAGAGAGAGAGTAATGCAAAATAACTGTAAAATATATAGCGGGGGCCAGCTCCTTGATCCGTTCTAGGAAAGTGTCCGCTCGTAGAGTTGTCTGTACTGGTTAGAGGGCTGAAAGCATTTATTTTGTTTCAGAAACTCTCTGTGGGAAGTTATTAACAATCCATCGAAATGCAAACAATACTGTCCTGTCACGACCACGCCCAGTACCAAAAACTCGTCTCCCATCACCGCTGTGATTACTACCTCAAACAAGACTACAATCAATCCAAGTTCATTATCATCGTCAGAGAGTAGGAAATCACAGGGCGAACGTCACAGCACTACTGCCTCGTCGCCTGTTACAAAGCAAGAGGGTTTGAACAACAGCAGCGATCGGGAACAAAACTAATAAGCAAGGCACCAAGCACTGAAGAGAACAGATTATAAACGCCTTTGGAGGCGCCCGTAACCCGCTACAAAAGTCGACTTTCCCCATTTTATGATCATATGTTCAACTGACTTAAACATTAGGGCACTCAGCGCAGAGCTGCAAATGAAAAATTTGGTCCCTGAAAATGCGTTCCCCCCAGTGAAAATCCTAACTTCGGTCGGGCGCCATGACCGGACAGATCAAATACCGAAGACTAGCGTTTTCAAGCGTTGTATTACGTATGCCACATAAGTTTTCCTGGTTTGTTCGACTAAAATGTTTGCCAGGGGGTACTTACCAGTTACATGGGATAACCGGAAATTCCGAACACTTCCTGAAATTTATATGTTTCGCGCCAGGCAAATCACACTACAAATAGCTCATTCTGATTGGTCGAATCTCGCGCCATTCCGTTTGAAAAGCGTCGGAAAATATGGGCTGTGATTTAAGCTGTAGCAATTTTCCCCTTCTTTTTAGTCTGTGCAGATGATTTGGATATACTTTGTAGCAGGTCGTTCTCCCACCACGTAAAATTTTATATTTTTATGTTTAGCCACAAGATTTTCAACCGGCTGGTTTCTGTAAATGGTAAGCACGTACGGTTATAATAGCAGCAAACTTTTGCAGCCCTGCCGCTTTGTCTTTTAATTTACAAACTCTCTTCAAATTTGATAAGAAAACAAGAAAATCAAACTGAAACGTTGTATGCTTTGATAGGCGTCCGACAACATCTTTAAATTTGAAAAAGTGTAATTAATTGTTTTAAGATAAAGATAACTTCTAAGTTTTTGAAAGGTAGGTGTCTTCGCTATGATGAAGTTGCATAAAATCTTCATTTGTAACTTTTGATGCTTAGAAGGCAAATGCTTCCAAAACAAGGATTATCTCAGCTCTTATAACGATGACAATGTCTTTATGCTAGAGGGAAATGAAGTTGAGACTTGAAAAATGCAATATATTGAATCACTTTTATCGCTTTATGTTTCGATCCTGTGTCCGTGATTGCTCTTTTGCCCCGGGGGAGGGGGGCACTTTAAGAGTGTTTAAGTTGGGATGTGCCTCTGGGAGACTAAAACCCTTAGCCTTTACCAGAAGCAAAAAGTGAGGGGGGGGGGGCAAAAAAGTGGTGGGGCCGCGGCCCTACCAGCCCCTCCCCCTCCGCGGTCCCTGCCTTGTGATCCAGTTGACTCCATAGGTACGTCAATACTTTCTACTTTTTCAGCTTTATTTTGAAATATTGAACTTTATTCCATGCGTACGTTTTCCCTCATTTAGGAATATCACTGACGTTTCGTTCATGATTTTGAACATGAAAAGGGCCGCCTCCACAATCTCCAAGTTGACCAGCAGAGTCTCATTCCCTGTCTACCAAGAGCCAGTTTCGCAAGATATCATGGGAATGCTAGGTGGTGCAAAAGACGATATACTGATTTACGATCGGTGCGGACTACTGGTTAAGCACTTCTCTATGCCATACAGCTACCTTGGGTGGCCATTCGTCAGGTAAATTGCATCCTCCTATGAGTTCGAAGAAACCTTTAGATTCTAAGACGAGGACGAGATTACGTAGACAAGATTTTTGCAGTACTAGGTAGTGCGTGCACGTGAACCAGCGTCATTTTGGCGGGAAAACGTGATAGCACACCCCTCCCCTCTGCAACAGAACTAGTGGAATCTGTATCTTCACTGGGTTCTCGGAGGAAACGTCACTGGGTTGGTTTATTTTCCGTGGAATAAAGCCTTTGTTACCCTTCTACGAGTTTTAACGAAAATGTCTTAGTGACTGAAAAAGTTATCAAATGTTAGAAGTTTTATCATCTTGCGATTGTGAAAATAACCGTGCTAACTTTCTGGTTAAGAGAAAGTATATATATGTTGCTTTCCGGGGCGCCTATTTTTTGGGAATACGCGAAAAAAGCAAAAGCCAAATCTTGTCCTCGAATCTGAAGGTAATCATTCTAGTAGCTAGGCAGATGCTTGACCTTTGCCATGACGTTCCACCAAGTTGGCCATTTTGTTGGTTTATTTGTTTGTGGTTTGCTTTTAATTTTGCCGCCATTGACCAAATGTAATTTACAGAGTTGTTGAAAAAAAGAACTACACATCGGAAACTGACAAGAAAGCCGAAAAAAACCACGAGACATACACAATAGCTTGGGATTTCATTATTGTTAGTAACTTTTAAGATTAATTGGCCTGCGAATACAGCCACCTTCTCATCGCCTTCTACCGTTGAGTCCGTTAGGGAGATTTCGTGATAGTTGCGTGCCTAGGTCCCTTGGCCTCATTATCCCACGCGACCTCCCTACCCTTCGTCTCGGCTACGTCACCGAAATACGTTGACCGAGAAAGCCTGGAAGGACGCCGTACTGGGACTAGGGAAAGAAAGGGGACCTCTCCCGAAATGTTCGTAGCGGCAGTGAGGGGAAGAGCGATAAAATGCGGTAATAAAAAAAGCGAAAGAAAAAAAAAAGAAGAAGAAGAAGAAGAAAAGCCAAAACAGAAAAGAGAACATTAAAACTATTATTGATTACTAGGGGAATCGTCATGGTAGAAGCTACCCCAGCTTCACAATGGCCGTTTTTATGCTAGAGACGTTAAAGTCGTCTAGACGCATTTAACGTCTGAGACGTTAAAGCCGTCTAGTGTAAAAACGGGACGCACAAAAGTAGACGACCTTATTTAAAAAAGTAGATTTTTCCGAAAAAGGACTAGGCTCTACTCTCGGAAGACACTGGACACGAGTTAAAGCGGCGCCAAAAATGAACTTCAAGCCCGCGAAATGCGAACAAATTGTCCAAACTCTAACATGGCGGCGGCGTTACAACTTTTAAAGTCTATTTCTCGCCGTCGCCAAGAAAGGCATGACTTAGAAATGCAGATCTTGGTAACAAATTCAGTTCGGTCGTCTGCGAGAACAGATGCAAACTCCTTAAGTTCATCCTCACTCCACTTTCTGCCACTAGACTCCTTCATGCTCTTCTTGGCCGCCATGTTGTTTTGCCCTCGTCCCAGTCGTCTCTGGACGAGTCGAGCATAAATGCGTCCTAGTTTACGACGTCCCGTCTTTATACCAGACGACTTTAACGTCTGAGACGTTAAAGTCGTCTGTTAAGTGCGTCGTTCGGACGCACTTAACAGAAGACGTTAAAGTCGTCTGCCTTATTTACCGTTTTTATACTAGACGTTAAAGTCGTCTTAAGACGACTTTAACGTCTCAGACGACTTTAACGTCTCTAGCATAAAAACGGCCAATGTTTGTTTGCTAAATAAGTATGAACCTGTTTAAGACGGACGCCGTTGCATTGGGATCAGTACAAAGTTTACATTGAGGTCAGGTGTCTTCCTTATAGAGAGAGAGTAATGCAAAATAACTGTAAAATATATAGCGGGGGCCAGCTCCTTGATCCGTTCTAGGAAAGTGTCCGCTCGTAGAGTTGTCTGTACTGGTTAGAGGGCTGAAAGCATTTATTTTGTTTCAGAAACTCTCTGTGGGAAGTTATTAACAATCCATCGAAATGCAAACAATACTGTCCTGTCACGACCACGCCCAGTACCAAAAACTCGTCTCCCATCACCGCTGTGATTACTACCTCAAACAAGACTACAATCAATCCAAGTTCATTATCATCGTCAGAGAGTAGGAAATCACAGGGCGAACGTCACAGCACTACTGCCTCGTCGCCTGTTACAAAGCAAGAGGGTTTGAACAACAGCAGCGATCGGGAACAAAACTAATAAGCAAGGCACCAAGCACTGAAGAGAACAGATTATAAACGCCTTTGGAGGCGCCCGTAACCCGCTACAAAAGTCGACTTTCCCCATTTTATGATCATATGTTCAACTGACTTAAACATTAGGGCACTCAGCGCAGAGCTGCAAATGAAAAATTTGGTCCCTGAAAATGCGTTCCCCCCAGTGAAAATCCTAACTTCGGTCGGGCGCCATGACCGGACAGATCAAATACCGAAGACTAGCGTTTTCAAGCGTTGTATTACGTATGCCACATAAGTTTTCCTGGTTTGTTCGACTAAAATGTTTGCCAGGGGGTACTTACCAGTTACATGGGATAACCGGAAATTCCGAACACTTCCTGAAATTTATATGTTTCGCGCCAGGCAAATCACACTACAAATAGCTCATTCTGATTGGTCGAATCTCGCGCCATTCCGTTTGAAAAGCGTCGGAAAATATGGGCTGTGATTTAAGCTGTAGCAATTTTCCCCTTCTTTTTAGTCTGTGCAGATGATTTGGATATACTTTGTAGCAGGTCGTTCTCCCACCACGTAAAATTTTATATTTTTATGTTTAGCCACAAGATTTTCAACCGGCTGGTTTCTGTAAATGGTAAGCACGTACGGTTATAATAGCAGCAAACTTTTGCAGCCCTGCCGCTTTGTCTTTTAATTTACAAACTCTCTTCAAATTTGATAAGAAAACAAGAAAATCAAACTGAAACGTTGTATGCTTTGATAGGCGTCCGACAACATCTTTAAATTTGAAAAAGTGTAATTAATTGTTTTAAGATAAAGATAACTTCTAAGTTTTTGAAAGGTAGGTGTCTTCGCTATGATGAAGTTGCATAAAATCTTCATTTGTAACTTTTGATGCTTAGAAGGCAAATGCTTCCAAAACAAGGATTATCTCAGCTCTTATAACGATGACAATGTCTTTATGCTAGAGGGAAATGAAGTTGAGACTTGAAAAATGCAATATATTGAATCACTTTTATCGCTTTATGTTTCGATCCTGTGTCCGTGATTGCTCTTTTGCCCCGGGGGAGGGGGGCACTTTAAGAGTGTTTAAGTTGGGATGTGCCTCTGGGAGACTAAAACCCTTAGCCTTTACCAGAGCTAGTTCAGCGGAATTTTGCCACCTTGTACTAGACTAAACTCCCCAAATCCCCAAAGTAGCTTTTAGGCTGAGTTGCGTGCCGATTTGATTTTTTTATATTTTTGAGCGGCAATTCCCGGTTTCACTCGTCTAGACTAGAATCCTCAACCAATTGATCAGTTTCCTGAAAAATTATACCCTATTCTAAACCCAAACTCTCCGATTTATATACACTATCCCAGAGTAAACTTCTTGAAAAACATACCCTTCACAGCGGTACATACCTATATAGCCTTTATATGGCAGTACCCCCCCCCCCCCCCC